AGACTTATTTTGTGTCCATCAATTGGGCTATATCAAATCTTTATCATCACAATCTCCCCACAGATGAAGAAGATACTTGGGGTAGCAGAAATATGGTTCTACAGAAGGATGCTGAGAATATCATGGACTGAGTATGTGACTAATGAAGAAGTTTTAATGAAAATGGAAACAAAATGAACACTTACACATAAAACCAGAAAAAGACAGTTGGTATTTCTAGGACACATAATGAGAAAAGAAGACTTAGAGAATTTGACACTCACAGGACATAGTGAGGGGGCACAGAGTAAACAATGAGTAACCTATGTAACATGCTTGTGTAGATGGATGGCAAAACAGGGAATGGGAGGGATAGTGAAAAGACAAATGTTGCTAAGAGCTACAAAGGATAGTAAATTGGGGGAGGTCATGATCGTCCACATCCTAAAGGGATACTGCATATAGAAGATCTGGTTTAACCGTATAAAGTAGACACTAAGCCTAAAATTCATGAGCAAGAAACAAAAGTTACAACCATTTTTCCATTTCTTTTTTCCTCTAACCAGAAAAAAAAGATACATTTAAAGGAACAAAAAGAAAAAGATCTTTTTTTTTTTTTTGTATTCCCATTTGTCACGTGAGTAATGAACAGCCAATAGTGGTGGGAGGTATAGATTTTAGCCATTCAGTGGCATTTATTGACTTATAAGTCCTCACAAAACATTGTTTGGTGTTATGTTAGTATTTATTGCCATGCATCTAGACTTGGGTTGCAGAGCCACCCCTGGGTCCACTAATAAATTGCAAAACACAATATTCTTTGGTAACAATGGACAACCATATATTGCTGCAATAAAAATCCATTAGAGGAAAACAAAAGATTTTCAAAATATGTGAGTACTTGAAATCTTGTATAATATCACCACAGACATATTTAAATTAAGCAAGATCCCTGAATTTATGATGGTGATAATTTTCAAATTGGGAATAATTCAATAAATACAAAGTTGAAAATATATCAGTTTTATTGGTGTGAAAAGCAATCTTTTGGTGCTCAGCAGAAACTGGTTGAAAAATTTTCAGCTCATTGTCTTTCATGTCATTTCTTTGCCTGACATGACAGTCCTCAATTGAATCATTATACACAAACCTATTTCAATAATCAGTTTCAACAATCACTATTTAAATTACCTTGTCTATAACATTGGAAAGGTTATTCCAATGCCACGGACAAGATTACATGTTTTTGCGAGTCATCAGCTTAGTATCCCCATCTTAGAATTGTGTTAAATGGCTATGGGTTAAATAGTAGGATCTAGAAAAATCATTGTTATTCGAAAAAAAACAAAAAAAAACTGGTAATGCAATATCCATATGAAAAAGAAAAGATTATTCCTATGATCAAAAATATGTTTTGTAATCCACAAAGGGTTGATAAGTCATAAAAACAAAACAATCAGTGACTTGTATGGAAAGAAAACTGTTTTAAATAAGCAATGAAGATTTTATATACTTGACAGCAAAAGGTTAAAAAGTAAGGAAATATTAATTTGTTGTAAAAATATGCATACATTTTTTTTTTAATTTTTTCATCCCAAGCAATGCTACTATGGTACAAGAGGTTACTGAGAATAAAAGAGAACGAGAAGACTTTAGTAAGAAGAAAGGACAATAAAAGAACAGGATTTCTGGGAGACAAAGTTTGGTGATTGACATTGAATATAAATTTTTGAAGATTCTATGTGGAAGGGAAGCAAGAAATCAGAAAAGGGTTCCACAGGTGAGAAGTGCAAGAAAAGAAAAAGAATAGAACTTATGGTTACATCTAGCTATTTCAATGGTAAAATGGTGAGACCTAATTGCCAATCTAGTACTAATCTTCATACAGTCAAGGTGCCAAGGAGGTGACATTAATCATAAATGTATCATTTTTAAAATAAGAATGACCAGATTACTTTCATATCAGTCATTCTCTGTAAATCCTTCTAGAAACAATTTTGCAACTCAATGAAAATCAAAGAAAATCTGAATACATTTGTGAAATTATATCTTCCTTTACAATGAACAATAGTCAGAAATCAATTTATTAAGAATAATTTTATGGAACAAGTCAAAAACCAATTAATAACACTTATTCAGAAATATTATTTCTGTGAAACATTTAACAGGGCTGGGATTAAATTTATCATTTCTCCCATCTTTTTCCATCAAGGCTAGAATCAGTCTTATGTTGTCTTTGGATGCAGCAGGGTAAAAAATGGATGTAGATGTTGCTGCTCTTTGGAGGGTTCAACTTGGAAACAGCACCTCCCCAACTGCACAGATAGGATCATGTATCACCCTAATGCTTTTATGATAAAAGCTTCTTGCCTGAACTATTTTTGCCTGTAAATGTAAATCTGTGGATCCTCATATTAAGCCTGTCCCCATATCACATTCTTTCTCAAGGTAGGGAGGCAGTATAAATATTATTGTATGTGCAGAATATAACTTAAAACTTTGTCTGTTTAATTAGTTTAGA